GCGCCGATTCCGGGGGCAATAAGCTGCATGGGATTTTGAGAGGGGATGTGCGGGGCTGGTGTGGAGTGAAGAAGGATGGGATTCGGGTGTATACCACGTTGAGGTATGATGGGGAGACGAGGACGGTGTCGTTTTGGTCGAGGGTTGATGCGATGCGGGAGCTTTGGGAGGGGGATGGGAAGGGGCAGTGGAAGGCTTTTATCTGGAGGGTGGATCGGTGGACGCGAGTTACGGAGGGTGTGAAGGTTAGTGAGGAGAGCGTCACGATGAGGAGACGTTGGGTGGGTGAGTAGTTGTTGATTAATACATCTTTCGCTCTTTTAGGGAATGAGTCGAGTACGAGGTAGGTATAAAGAAATACTTATTGGCGTAGAGAGAAGGGGGAACCCCGGTGGTTATATACAAGTAATACAATGTGTTAACCACGCTAGCACACACACTCAAGGTTGAGTCTCTGCAGGGCGGCGTGGTTGGCGGATGTGTTCAACGGTTAACTACCGCCTCAGTACCTCTACAGGATTTCTGACTCGCGGCAACGGCCGTACTGTGGTAGCGTGCTTCATCCGACGCATACCATGCTGAGCTAGTGTTCCCCCAAGATCACATGGTGATGTAGACCCTGGCCCGTCTCTGTTGTGTGGTGGGACTGAGATATGTGAACATCGACAAATCATGTAGCGTAAGTGGATGAAAAGAGTTTCAAGTCGGTCTTGACCGAAATGGAACAGCAACTTCTCGGAAGGTTAGGGAGCTACACTAGTGTGGTTGCAGATGGCCATGCGTATTTCGCGCATGGTTATAATAGCGATCATTTCCTCGTCAGGCTTCCAACAACGGCCCGAGGCGATCTGCTAGATGACCGGCCCGCCGAGGTCGCTTGTCGAGATGGTTTTACGAATAGAAAGCCAGCATTCACTCCCATCCCATCCGATTCATCAGTCTGCACGGAATGCGCAAAATAACCGACACGGCGACGAAAAGTGAAACGGGTTGACCGTCGACATGTTGGGAAGTCGACATGCCGAGAATACCGCTGCTCAATTTGGGGAGCTGCGGGGATGGGGACAGGAACGAATGGAAGCCGTGAAGCTGCAGGTCCGACAAGGCAGGGTAGACTCGAACCAATGCATGTGAACGGCAAACGCGTCTCACAACTGGCACGAATAGATATCAGGATGTTCGGCGCCTCTGACGCTGCCCAAGCAACAAATATGCGCCTTTACAGACAACAATACTCGGGCGGCTCTTATGGCGCCGCGGAATTCCTCTCCGCGCCTCGAAATCGCAGACTTCATCAACAACGACACGAGTCGGCGCCAGCAGAATGCTGGGCACCTGTTGTGCGTACGATGGACTGCACTGTCTATTGGGCGCGTTGGAGAAAGGAAAGGGAAGGGAAATTCCAAAGGCCCAGAAATGTTTTTGAACTAAGAAAATTTGGGTGGTTCGGTGGTGCCCCACCTTCGGAGCCAAGTTTGGCCTGTCACCGAAGTCAAAACCCACAGCGGGTCTGATGAGTCCCTGAATCTGGAGCTGAACCAGGCAATGTGGGGTTAGGTCCGTGCACCAACGCTGCATGGATTTGGAGCGCGACCTGACATCCACTACGGCATTGTGGAAGCCAGCAGTGGGAGGGCCAGGTACGCTGTATTCCACTTCGACGACGACAACAACGACAACGACCTACCTATCACCACAAAGTTTTGATTCGGGCTTCCCAAATTACAAGCCTGCATGCGGTGACCCTCCCGATCGACCAGCTTGCTCGCTCTCCCGACTCCGACCGAATTCCCAATTAAACAGAGACAGACAGGGCAACACCCCTCCTAGGCGGCAAAGTAGCCCTCCTGAACCAGCGAAGCCCTTTCATTCCGACAGAAGCTGAAATTATTCGGTGTAGATACCCCCCGGCTGCCCCATACAACCGCCCGCCATGGCGTCGGCCGTCTTCTTCCTCGACCTCAAGGGCAAGACCCTCTTGGCCCGCAACTACAGGGGAGACATCCCCATGTCGGCCGTCGAGATGTTTCCCGTCCTGCTGAGCGAAGCCGAAGAAGAGTCCTCCGCGGTACCTCCTTGCTTCTCTCACGAAGGGATCAACGTAACAGCTTCCTAGCCCAGTTTGGCCTCACTCTCCATGTTGCCGTAGCTGACTCGGCGCTCCCCACAGTACCTCTACATCCGCCACAACAACCTGTACCTGCTCGCTCTCACAAAACGAAACACGAACGCTGCCGAGATCCTGCTCTTCCTACACAAGATTGTCGAGGTCTTCACCGAGTACTTCAAGGCCCTGGAGGAGGAATCCATCCGCGACAACTTTGTCGTCATCTACGAGCTCCTCGACGAAATGATGGACTTTGGCTACCCGCAGACGACCGAATCCAAGATCCTACAGGAATACATCACCCAGGAATCGCACAAGCTCGAAATCGCCCGCCCGCCCATCGCCGTGACCAATGCCGTGTCATGGCGTTCCGAGGGCATCCGGTACCGGAAGAACGAGGTCTTCCTCGACGTGGTGGAGTCGCTCAACCTGCTCGTCTCGGCCAACGGCAACGTGCTGCGGTCCGAGATTCTCGGCGCCATCAAGATGAAGTGCTACCTGTCGGGCATGCCCGAGCTGCGCCTGGGGCTGAACGACAAGGTCATGTTCGAGACGACGGGGCGCACGACGCGCGGCAAGGCCATCGAGATGGAGGACGTCAAGTTCCACCAGTGTGTGCGCCTGTCGCGCTTCGAGAACGACCGCACCATCAGCTTCATCCCGCCCGACGGCGAGTTCGAGCTCATGTCGTACCGCCTCAACACCCAGGTCAAGCCGCTCATCTGGGTCGAGTGCGTCGTCGAATCCCACAGCGGCTCCCGCATCGAGTACATGCTCAAGGCCCGCGCCCAGTTCAAGCGCCGCAGCACCGCCAACAACGTCGAGATTATCGTGCCCGTCCCCGACGACGCCGACACCCCGCGCTTTCGGACCAACGTCGGCTCGGTGCACTACGCCCCCGAGCAGAGCGCCATCGTGTGGAAGATCAAGCAGTTTGGAGGTGGCAAGGAGTTCCTCATGCGCGCCGAACTGGGCTTACCTAGTGTTCGGGGTGATGACGAGCACGGCGGTGGCATGACGGGTGGGTTTGGAGGCAGCATGGGCGGCATCGGGGCGCCTGGCAAGGGGGCGAAGAGGCCGATCCAAGTCAAGTTTGAGATCCCCTACTTCACTACGAGCGGGATCCAGGTGCGCTATCTCAAGATCACAGAGCCAAAGGTATGTTTCAACTAGGTCTGCCCCCTCTGATGGCACTCCCTCTGACATAAGGTCTACCACAGCTCCAATACCCCTCACTTCCATGGGTGCGCTACATCACACAATCTGGAGACATTGCCGTAAGGTTACCAGATGTGGTATGAGCGCAGGTTTGCGGGGCTTTCGGTGATGGTGGTGGGAACTGTGAATGCTAGCCAGGGTAGATATCAGGGAGAGGCTGCGGCTGTGGCATGGTTGAGTCAGCTCCGCCCCATTCTTGTCGGCGGCGGGCAGCCACAAGATGTCACTCCGTGTTGCGAGACAGCAAAAGGCCTGTTGTGGCGTATGGTGTAATGAGTGAGGCCGGGACATGACTAAACTAGACTAGACAATCAGGCACAAATGCTTGAACGTTCATTCTAATATTTGTTCCGTATGTGTTTCTGTCGTCCCCTCCTCGCTAAGGACCTGAAGCCTCAAAGTATGGTCAAACCTCGTATAACAGGGAGATACGACAAAAGCCGTAATGCGCTGGTCTACAGGTCATGAACGCACAAGATAGGTACTCGGTGACCATGGGGTTGAAGGCATATCGAATGATGAAAGTGGCACTAAAACAACAATATCTGAACCGACCCGCGAGCCCAGAGAGAAAAGGAGGTCGGTTGCCTCGAAGCAGAAGTTTCGAACGAGATGAAATAAAACAACAAAAAAAAAAGGAAGCTTGAGTCGACATCCCACAAACCGGATCAACCCTGAACCAACACGGTTCTGTACTCGAGATCTTGCAAGATCTGCTCCCAGATTTCGACGGGGACGTTATTCTCCTCACAGTCGTCCAGGCCATCCACCAAATTATCCGCGCAAACCTGGACGAAGAGACCGCGGGGGCTCTCTCCCGATTTGGGCACTGCGTTCGTCAGCCGGCGTCCTCGGCAAGGCAACAATAGTTCTAGCACAAAGTAAACTGAATACCCACGGTAGGGTGACGCCCTGCTCGAGCCGAGCCACTGTCCCATCTCCCACTTCCGGCTCTGAAACACATCGCTCGCCCGCCCCGGCCGGCCATGGAACCCCATCAACGCAATCACAATCGGCAGCTCCCCGGACAACCCCCTCGACGGCCCCAGCCCCGGCCTCGTATTCCTATACACGGCCGGCACCAACCCCGGCACCCACGACGGCGCGTCCCCCGCCACAAACGGATCCCCGCTCGCATACGAATTCACATACGACACGCCCCCGCCCCGCCCCCCGTCGTCACCGCCCCCAACAAAATGCAGATGCGACCACGTCGAGCACCGCTCGTCGTCGTCCTCCTCATACATCCCACCACCACCACTACTACTACTCCC